AAAGGCACGTGACTCCGACCGGACCCGCCGATTAGCCGAGGGCACCCTCGACGTCACACGCATCCTCCATGGCAACCCGGCACTAGAGGGGGGAAGAGATAGGGCGGGGCGGCCATTTTCCTGAAGACCAGCGTGTGACAAAATGGCGCCCGCAAAATGGAGCCTCCTGATCAAGATCCGTTCAGAGCGGCCGCTGTTGCTGGCCTGATCCTGCAAAATGCTAATTGCTCGGCCGTCCAACGTACGCAATATTGATACTGAGATCTGTAACAAACTTTCTGCCAGAGTTCCTTATCTCTGTGCCGGTTCTAGGTCAGCAATATAGCCAGAGCTCCATTGCGACATGACATGCGGGCAATCGGCATTCTCAGGAAGAAGATTTAAGCAATGGCAGCCACTGGGTTTTATAGCACGTGTAGCACCCTGTAGGGGGGTGCTTAGTAAATTTAGTGTTTTCAGAGTCTGTGTTCATCTGGTTTCCCTAATCAATCTGTCATCGTTTGCATCTGTCTGCTGCTGGGTGCACCCTGGTCACGGAGCAGAGCAACCAATGAGAGATTGCTATGAGTATGTATGTCTCCTCCGCCAATCACTGGGAGGTTGATAGCCAGCGGTGCATGCTGGGGGTGGAGATAAATACTTGAGGTGGACCATGTGAGCTCTCTCTTCCTCCCCCGGGCCCTGCCTGGGGTGGAGGCAGCGATGGACTGGCGAGGCCAAAGCCTGGGGGACTAGACGTGTGCTTACGCTGAGGTCTGAGTCTGGCGGTCCTGTGGTTACTACTGATGACAAGGATGGATATGATTGGTGATCTCTGCGTTGTCAGGTGCTCGTCACACAGACTGCCATGTCTGGCTTGTAGGTCCTTGTCCATGATGGAGGCGGCTACTCTAACCTGCCACTTAAAGGAGCCGACACCATCCTGACCCTCCTCCCGGAGGGTGGGAAGTGATCCTAGACATAGAGATTAATGAGCTGTGGTAACCCATGGCAACCGGGGCCGAGGTATTCTCACTCTCGTGGCGTGTCCATCATAGAGGAAATACAGGGAGACCCAGTCGCTGGTCTAGGGGGTGCGCTACACACGACTCCACCCCTCTACATAAAACCTCCCAGCCAGGCCGCCATTCATAACCTTCTCCAATGGCTGCTGACATCTAACGGAGTTCCTGAACTTATCACGGGATGAACATGACTGCTGAAGCAAAAGCAATGTTTGGTCATTGATGTCAGCCAGCGTCCTGGCCCATGTGTAGTCATCAGAGGTGGTCAGCGGTAGTCATTGCTGAAGGTCAATGGTGGTCGTTGGTGGTGGTTAGTAGTAGTGAATGGTGGAGTTCAGGTAAGCGGTAGTCATTGGTGGCGGTCAGGGGTAGTCATTGGTGGTGGTGATCGGTGGAGGTCAGGGGTGGTGATCGGTGGAGGTCAGGGATGGTTAACGGAGGAGGTCAGGGATGGTGATCGGTGGAGGTCAGGGGTGGTCGTTG